GGCCTTCAGTGGACTACAGGTAACCTCTACCAAGCCTAACTCAAACTCTGCATTAAAAATGCTATTGAATAATTCACAAAGATATTATTATTTGCTATAGCTAAGTAGCTTTTACATATATTCATGTAGGATATTTGAATGGTAAATTTTAATTGTAAATGAATTCTTTTATACTACTCTTTTTCTCTGATAGATAAAAGCATGCATTCTAATTTTACAGTAAAAATAAAATTTGTTGAAAAGTGCCAAAGGCACAGTGACTTAAATCAAATAGAATATTTATGAAAAAATATTTAGTGTATGTTGAAATCAATTGCATGTTATTTGCTGTAAAATACAGTAATTAAGAGAATGGAAGAGAAGAAAACACTATCTACAGCTGAAGAAGTATAAGGAAAATGGTTAAAATAATTGAAGCAATGTCTAAGTAACTAACTGATGCAACTATGGCTCCATGTTTGTTTAAGCTTGGTTGTAAGTTCAAAATATCACACACATATGCATAAAATATTAATGGAACTATTATTAGAGAAAAGGATTTTTGTATCCAAGTATACTGTAAAACAGAAAATCAAACTTGACTTTTTTACTTTTAAAACTTATGAGGCAGCACATGGTGAGGATTATAAGAGAGTTAGTGTGGGAAACACTACCCTTTCTGGCTACATCCTTGTATATGAATCAGATCATGATTACCTACTAATCTCAAAACTAAAAAAACAATGTTCCATCCAATGGAGAAAGCATTATAATTTAGTTTTTGAAAAACAATTTTAAATAAAAACATTCCTTCTTGTAATTAAAATCACTGCTGTGGAGTCAGTAGATCAAGCTCCCAACTCAAACTCAGAATTTCGTGCCCACCAGTGGCCAAGTGGTCTTTGTACCCTAAACAGTGGGAATTCGGTCGTGGGTTCGCACCTCGCTCGGACGGGCTGGCCATGTGGAGTTTTCTGGGTTTTCTCCACGTCTGTAATGCTAAACAGGGGGCAGGTTTCCCTTAAAAAGACCTCCCGAAAGGCATTCCCCTAGGCAGATCGTCCAAGTGTTGCATTGCTATAACTTAACAAACATAGAATTTCAGAAGATTCAACTCCCACTCCTGCCTCTACATAATAAGTTAAAAATACTTTAATAAAACTATCCCAGAATGGCATTTCATCACTATCAAGTGAATCATCAGCCATTCTTGTTGAAATTGTAGAAAATAAAGATAAATATTTTCATATAAATTTTCGTATACAAGTACATATCTTCTAATAATCAGGACTTATTATACTGGCTTTACAGATAATGCTACAGAGTTTCACAGAAAACAATTTTTTTATTTTATTTAATATACCTGAATTACAGATATATTAAATAAAATAAATTGTTTTCTGTGAAACTCTGTAGCATTATCTGTAAAGCCAGTATAATAAGTCCTGATATTAGAAGGTATGTACTTGTAGACAAAAATTTATATTTTAGTAAGTCAAGGACATTGAGGCATTTTAATTAAATAAATATTTTCAGTTTTTCACCACTAACATCTTCAACCACACACTGATAGACAAAATTTTTTCCAACTATGGTTATACTATAGTAAAGTATTCAAAAACACTAAATTTAATCTGAATCTTTCTTATCCATTTTATATACATTTCTTTGACAATAAAAATTTAGAATTAGCTAATAGAGAATGTTTCCAATTATAAATTTCTGAACAGAAATTCAACAGTAGTTAAGTGCTATGCAAAGAAAGATCATGAAGTAGGGAAATCATCATTAAGTAAGATCTTGTATTACAGGAAGCACCTACATTACAAGATAGGAAGTTAAGATCTTTAACTTAAACCATATAAAGTGCATATTAAAAAGAAACAAGGAGTGACTTAGTTGTTCCATTTTTGCTGACTCAAACTTTGATTCCTCTAGCAACAAATTTACTTCTGATTGACTAATTCCATGACTTCAACTCCACAGCCTGGTTTGAAAAAAAAATCATTGTTACTTTGTTTAAAATGTAATAAAGAAATTGAAAAACTAATTTAAAAAAAATTAAGTTTACCATACAATTGAAGTGGCTATGTAAGCAACAGGTATGGGAAATACTATATGGATCTGAATGCTGTGTTAATGCAAAGTTATTTAATGTTAGAATGAGTATGAACACCCGTTAGTAAACTAGATTCTGCAAGAATTCATCTTTCAATTGATATTCTTGTTAATGATAGAAATGTTATCCTTAAAAATCATCATGTTTCTCATATATTTTTTATATGTTTTATTAAATGATTTCATATGAAATCATTTAATAAAACAAACTAAAGTCTTATGTATAAAAATATAGCATTTTATAAAAATAATGTATTAATTTATAGTCTTTCAAATGTTTTTATTAGATATCTTATGCATATGAAACTATAATATAAAAATCGAAGTTATGCTAAAGTTTAGTTTTATTATCACTTTATTTTTCTTCCCTACTACTGAAACAACAATCAAGAGCAATTTATTCAGACAATAGATGTTATCTCATTATTACAGAAATTAGAATCAAATTTTAAGAAGTTTAGAACTTAAAATTAATGTTATTGTTTTTATTTTCAACTGTACAGTCTGTGCAAAATTTTTATGGAGAAAAATATTTTTAAATTTTGATTTTTCACTCTTTCTGTATTGTAGGCACCAAGGTGGCATTTTTTCCATAACCATCTTGAGTTTGACCAGGTTAACAAGGGGGCCCAAACATATCCAAGGCAAACCATCCATGAAAAAAATTCCTGGAGTTGTTTACTTGGACTTAATCCCAGGTCTTCCAAGGTGATAGGTTAATGCCTTAAATCATCTCAGCCACCTGATATATAATATATAATTGCTGTCCTAATATATAATAAGAGCCAACTAAGAGCCAGGGCCCAACCTACCACTCTAGGACCAAGGTTCAAATTCGAGTGAGTTAAAAACCCCAGGAATTATTTGGGGTAGTCTATCTCAGATTTTACAGGCCCTGTCACTTACTACTCAGCCACCCCATTATGGGCCTGGCTGAACCACAATGGAAATAAGTGTCTCAGGGCAGTGTGTATCCTAAAAATAAATGGTGTGAACCCAAAAGTATTTAGGTATATTTTATTGTTTGAAATAGAAAAACTAGTAAACTATTAAAACATTTCAGTCAAATTGTATATCTTTATGCCAAAAAAAAACATTTTCAATTGTAATTATACTTTGTGCTTAATTGTACTACCATATATATTATTATAATGTATTTTGAAAATCAGTCTTTCAAAAATGAATACATGTGGTCAATATATTATTTTATAATGTATATTAACCACATATATACACTTTTGATACACAAATATCTTTTATGAAAACAAAATACAAAGATTACTTATTATGCATTAATACGTTTAACTTATTTAGAACTATACCAAATACTTATATTAACTTTTCATGTGATGTTTGGCTACTGAATATGAAATAGCAACTTAAAGCATTCGACAACAAATTTCTTGTTAATAAGCATGCTGTTTAATAAACTCACATCAGTCAGTATTGAATGTAAAATCAATACAACTCTATATTCCTTTTTTCCATTCAACATTATTTATGTCATGTCAAGAGTAAATTATGGTGCAATAACATTTTTTCACATAAAAAGGTGATCAGAGTCATGAGGGTTAATGTCCAGATACGTGGACTGTCATGGCAGCATTTCCTGTTTTCCGACTGCCAGCCTCGACACTGTAGCTGTTTGGAGACGACATGTCACACGACGACGCGAGCGAACGGCGGCAGCTGCTGCGCCGCGATAAACGGGGAAAACCAATGCGCGGGTTAACATCCATATACGTAGACTGTCATGGCGGCTCATCTCTGATTCTGGAAAAGAAAAGGAAACAGTGGGGACGCACGTTCTAACCTAACCTAACCTATTCTAATAATTTAATCGGTAATAATTGTGGTAATTTATTAGAATAGGTTAGGTTAGAACGTGCGTCCCCACTGTTTCCTTTTGTTTGCTGGAATCAGCGATGAGGCGCCATGACAGCCACCGACGCTGCCGTGGCGCAGCAGCTGCCGCTGTTCGCTTGCGTCGTCACGTGACATGTCGTCTCCAAACCGCTCCGGTGTCGAGGCTGGCAGTCGGAAAACAGGAAATGCTGCCATGACAGTCCACGTATCTGGACATTAACCGTCATTGAGAGTTCCTATGTGGTCATGTCCCTTTTGTTCCTTAGTGGGTCAGTTTTGCTATTATTTTTTAAACAAATGGAACATGTGGAATGTTTATTAATAAAAAAAAAAGTCTTACACATTTCTGGTTAGAAAAATAACAGTAATTTTTCTCCACACCTAGGGAAAAAAATCATTAGCTTCCCTCTCAATGGCCTTGAAGTTGATGAGTGTATTTGTTTCTTTTTCTTATCTTAAGAATTATATGAGTATTATAAAGAATTAATGATGTGTGGGATTTTGCATGTGCAGTTTCACAACTCAACAACTACTGTATTGTGTCAAGTTTAGTATTTTATCATTCTGTACTTTGGCAATATAAGACCAACCATATAAGACTATATAACATTTTCAATTAATTGATTACATTTCATACCTGTTTCATTAGACGTTACTGAAATAAATATAAAAAATTTCACATCAATACTAATCTACTCAACAACAGTTTTCTAATTAAAGTCATATTAATAAAGTGAGGTTAAGAATATCTAGAAATATCAATAAGTTCTAGAATAATCTCAATCTCTAAGAGAAAATATCTTATTTAACTGTAAGAAAAAAAAAGCATTAAAAGATTTAAATAAATTTCTACGGAAAGCCATGCTTACAGTTAATAATTACCATATTTGATCAGTTACTTATAACAGACAGGAAGATGGTATTTGTGTCGAGTAATTAAGTCTTACCTTCGAGAGTTTAAATATTATTATTATTATAGAGAATTATGATAATTTGAAACGGAAAGATACCAAAAAGTCCTAATTACAGCCACTTACACAAAGGTTAAGTTTTCGAATTTGCGAAGATAACGACGTTTAAAACCTTAAAAAGAAAGAAATTTACAGGTTTGAGTATTCATAGATATATAAAGTAGATCATCCGAGTGAAAATAAATGATTAAATATACCTTTCATCAAATTATTTAATGATAAATCTTTGAAATAACAGAACAATCCGCGTTACCGTTTTCCCACAATAAAACGACTAGCGCCTCTGGTGACCAAAAGAAGTTTCGTACGTAAATTAATTCTATCGTTTTATTTATACTAAATTAATGAAATTTTATTTCGATTTTAAACTATAAAAATACTAAATTTAATGATACATTATTCGATAGAGTATTAATAAATTAAATAATAAATTTTTACTGACTTTTAGAAATAAAATATTTCGTACAATTATTTAAATTTTGATGAATGAAAACTAACGGGACATTCCATTTTCAACGCTGACTCAGCGCTGACTCAACACACTCAGCACTCAACAGATATGTTGACTGCTACTTTCCAATGAATTGTGGGTAAGACATTTGAATGGAATCCATCTTGCTGAGAATGGAATTATGGGAACTAAGCACTTCGTACTCGAGTTGGAACGTCGTTGATGACGTCAAATTGTTGACTTCAACACTCAACATTCGCGTTGAAAATTACAATGTCCCGTAATAGATTCGTTTGGTTTGGATTGGCAGCGATTCCGTTCCCTGAACACTGGCAGCTGATTGCAGAGACAGAGTTTACGTTAAACGACGTTTATCAACAGAACGGCCTATAGATGTTGGATGGCTCAACTGCGGTTTAAAATGCGTTGCGAAGACGACGATCGTCTATTGCTGACTGTTCTCTAACGAACTTCGGCTAAACATTGGCTCTTACTTCGCTATTACTCCACTGTTTTAGGAGTCGTTCGGCCATTCGGGTTATTTGTTTGTGACGTCAGAAATCGACTTGTATTCTTTCTTGTAAATTCGTTGTCGAATTTTCCACTATTCATTTTATTATTATTTTCTATATATGTTACTAATATTTATTTTTGTTCTTTTTGCTTATTTTTAAAAATAAAACCTTGGAGGTTTCCATTTTGTTTCTGTGTACTATATTGCTATAAGACAAAACTATAACACGTGTAAATTCACGTTGATTTGTTTACAACTTGTTACAGTAAAGTTGATTGGTCGAATCATTATAGTCGTAAACCCAGATGCACTGTAAATAATCCCATCATGCTTAACGACACACGCAACCAAGTGAGTATGACGTATTTCCGTTCGCCTTTCCAGTTCGCTCGATGGGTGTAACTCGAGACTACCGATTATGCGAGTCATAGTAACACGAGTAAGTTCAATGACGTCAATTCGAATACAACACGAAAAACTCTAGACTAAGGGCCCAGGATGGGCCTGCCGCGTAGAGTTTTCCGGGTTTTCTCCGCGTCTGTAACGCCTGAATAGGAGCCAGTTACCCTTAAAATAACTTCCGGGTTAAGGCCAAGAAGTTAAACGGCTTCGGCTGGATTATCGAATGCTAACACTATCGCTCTTTCAGAGCAATATAACCGGACAAGCTGCACAATCCATATTAAACCAATGAGATAGAGAAGTTCGAATTGGCTAAATGATGTATCAGTTCTATTTCTCTAAATTTAAATAATTGCACAAATTACTGCTGATTCTTGACGAAGCTTTCATCGATTCGCAATGCATTTAATTAAAAAACAGAAATTGTATTACAAAATAAACATGTATACAAAGTTACACCTATAGGAATATACATTCTCAGAAATAACGATAAATACAAATAAAATACAAAAGCAAGTTAGGTTTTCAAGCTGCTCTTCGATTTGTTCGACAATCCAACTTGCGAATTGTGACTCTCAAATTTCCCAACTTTCAAGAAAGCTAACAATTTAGTAGCTATTAAAGTATTAATTGCTATATTTAGCCTATTAATTTATTTAATATTTGCTGCAGAAATAAAGCCCTACATGAGTTAGGACGGCCCATAGATAAAGAAAGAAAAGATGAAAAACTGCAGTTTTTCATCTTTTCTTTCTTTATCTGTTGTATACCACGGATTTACAACAGCGCCATTAGCGATAAGGGAGAGAAGTGTGCCAGACACTTCTGTGCCTGAGCGAAACAGTGAAATTGTGGTCGCTTTCCTCTTGATCGATGTTTGAACGAATAAGCGAAATTATCACGTTATATTGTTGTTTGCCCACGGATTGGGCAAGTAATTTAGAAGTGCAGAAGGTAAAGGAACGTGTAGCACTAAACGTGAATTTTTCATATTTTTAAATATTGTACTTATATGTATGAGGCTCTGGACAGGTCCGAACCCTCACTAAAATTCTCGTTAAAATATATTTTGAAAGAGAAAAAAAAAGCTGGAAATATGTTTGTACGAAAAACGCGACGTAAATGTATAAACAATAGAAGAATGTAAGTCCTAAGATCGACGATATCCGGTTGAGATCGAATTAAACTTGGATTTTGACCTCTCCCACGATCGAAGTTGAGATCTTGTTACACGCAGTAACAAGTTATCAACCACTCAGAAAGCGAGGACGAGGAAAAGCTACCAATCGGAATGGGAGATCAAAACGGAAATTTATAAAAACCCATAAATTCAAAGACGTGACGGCTTCTCCCGAAAATTCCAAGTTTCGGACCAATTGTTGTGTATGTGCCTATCTTCGTCTACGTCTCCCTTCCTCAGATTGCCATCTTCTCATCACCGGAAGTCGACCTCGTTGTCCCGGAGCCGTGTAGACATCGAAGTTATTCTCATTTGCGAATTAGAGACAATCTTTTTGGGAATATCTTGAAAAGGAGAGGAAGACCCAGAGGCCGCCGCCGACTTTGAACTTCCAAAATCGCGGAAACCTTGTAAGCTTCTTTCATGTCAAATAAACAGTTAGTTGTAACCGTAGAGTCTGTGTTGGTACCGATTGCACCCACATACCAGTCTTTATGACTCTCGTCAGTCTTGACCATATATACCACATATGTACTTGTATTATACAGTACTTACTATACGATTTTTAAAATATTTTTAGCCTTTTTCTAAACATATATATTAGGTTAGTACCGGAATTTTATACTTAGCTGGGCCCTAGTCTCGAATTTTTCGTGTTACAACTCCCAACGTGTTGAAGTTGTCACGTGGTACCATCTCACACTCTGACGTCAAATCGGTAGTCTCGAGTTTTAACTCACGTGCCATCTCACCATGTGAGTTGCTACTCACGTTGAGTCGAGCATGTGAGATCGCTACACGAAAGTGAAAATGCTGACAGATACGCTATTCTGATCGTAATCGAAGCGTTAGAAAGAGACGAAAGAGTCGTTTAAGAAGGCAACGAATTTTTCGACCACGAGTAGATGCCATTTCTTTTCGTGTCAAGTCAACACTAATAAAAAAATTTTAATTCATTGTCGGGATAAAAAAATCGTCTGTCATGCGATTTCCCGCGCTTCTCCATTCTTTCGGCGAACGACGGTTGTCGCCATAGAGACGGCAATCGGACCACTTTTGAAGACTCGACCGCTGATTGGTTGAGAGACATCGGACCATCGGCGGACGTCGTGTAGCGCTGGTAAGCGCTGATTGGTGGAATCCAATGCGGTTTCAATCCATATAAAAGGATTGAGTTGTGGCGGGAAATTCAGTTCGCCTTGGACGCATGAAGGGAACTCATGTTTGACTTTAGTTCGCCTAAGCTGTTTCGTCTCGTTGAGTTGTAAATGACTTTAGAGTTAGTTCGTCGCAAGGTGTCTTTTCGACGGACCTGTTGCAGTGGATAAATGTGTTGAACTTTGTTAAATTCTGACGTTTTGTAAATGTTTGTTTGTGAGCTTTTGTAACTGTACATACATTTATTTGTAATATATATGTTATGGACAAAGTGATTAATCGGGCATTATTCATAATGACCGGGCATTATGAATAATGACCAAATAGGGCGGGCAGTGTGATAAATATTGATTAATTTATCAAATTGACCGGTCATTATGAATACTGCTATCACCTAGTCGGGCAAAGTGATAATAATAAGTTGAGGAGTGATCATCTGACATACGCTAGCCAATCGGCACGCTGAGTTGCGTGTGCGTATCGTACAGCGTTTAGTACAGAATTTTAAACTTGATTAAAAAAACTCCACTTATTTCATTTATAAATATTTATTTTTTGTAAATTATATCAAAGTACTATTAACTATATTAATTAAACTAATATTAACGAAAAGTATTATTAACAATTTTTGGTATAAATTATATAAAAAATTAAATGCTTTTTAGTTTATTTATTTGAGCAATTAACATTTTCATGACATTTGGAATTACATAAATTTTTTTTCTTTGGTAGCATTTGCATCTATTAGATTTTCAACCAATTTTTCAGCAGCATTAACTATAGTTGTGGCCTTCAGAAATTGATGACATTCTTGCACATTCTCTAAGCGAAATTTCTGCACCCGGTACATCTCCAACAGAAATAAAGTTTTCTTTACAAACAGTAAATTGGTTTCTGGAATATAATAGATTTAATATGCCATGTTTGGTACCCAGTTTGTAAAGGTTTTTATCTTTAACCGCAACAACGACACCTAAAATATTTTTTCCATCACTGCGGGCTCGATCTACATCAGGTACACGAATCCTTACTGTATCACCAACAATAGCTGCTGTGTATTTGGAATTTGATGTATTAATCATTTTTTCTGCTTGCTTTTTAAGATTAAACAAAGCCCTTGTTTTAGAAACACTTCTTATTTTTTCTTCTATTTTTGGATCAATTGTTTGGATTGTTTCTTCTTCATTCACCAATTCTGTAATACTAATAACATCCTGGTTTAGATTTTTTTTCACGTGAAGACGATGTAGATCTTTGAACTTCATCAGTTACATTGCTATGTAAGGGTAGCATTATGAAATAATATTTTATAATGTTTTCTTAGACGGTACCCGGACTTTCAGAGTTTGAGCAACTTTGACTTACTTCGTTGATAGTTTTAAAAAGTCTCTGTAGATCCTCTTGCGTATTAACGTTGAACAACGATTCGTTGGGTATAAAATTCTTTAGTCCAACGTTTAACTTTGCTCCAAACATGGCCTCTTAGGGGCTGCAGTTTATACCAGTATGGTGCGCTTGATTTTTCATCAGTAGTACAAAACGTAATCCTTCCGACCATTTGTCAGTATTATTAATCTCCAACCAAGAACTAAGCA